TTTCCAACCCTTTACTCTGAGGTAATCGCTATATTTGGTGTTGAGACCGGTTTCTTGTATGCAGCAGAAGGATGAATACTATTTTTGCATCCATTTTGTTAGCCTGTGTCTTTTTTTGTGAAATTGAATTAATTTATATTGAGAGATACCAATGACCAATGACTGTTAATTCCTGTTGTGTTGTTGGTGGTGGTGGTGGTGATTAAGTGTATCCACGTGCATGCGAGAACATTCTTCCCTTCTTTTGTTTTTGCTGGTGTGAGACTATTTATTGCCTGTGGTTTTGTAGTTATACTTAACCTCCTTGTGTTGGAGTTGTTCTTCTAGTACCTTCTGTAGGGCTGGATTTATGAATAGGTGATGTTTAAATTTGGCTGGTCATGGGATATCTTGTTTTCTCCAACTATGGTGTTTGAAGTTTTACTGGGTAAAGTAATCTTGGTTGGAATCTGTGTTCCATAAAATCTGCAGCTTATATCTCCAAGCTCCTCTGGCTTTTGGAGTGTCCATTGGGAAGCCATGTATAATTCTCATATTCTGCCTATATATGTTACTTGGACTTTTTCCCCTTATAGCTCAATTGAGACACTTGAGAAAGTGCTCAACATCCCTAGCAATCAGGAAAATGCAAATCAACACAAATTTGAGATACTATTTTACTCCTGTCAGAATGGCTAAAATCAAAAACACCAATGACAGTTTATCTGGAGAGGATATAGAGAAAGGGGAATACTCCTCCACTGCTGGTGGGAGTGCAAACTGGTACAACCACTTTGGAAATCAGTATGGTGTTTCCCCCAGGAAAATGGGAATCAGTCTACCACAAGATCTGGCATATAGCCTTTAGTACTTTTATAAGCATCTCCTACATTAAGTTAGGAAAATTTCCTTCTTTGATTTGTTTTGAAAATATTTTCTGGGCTTTTGTGCTAGGACTCTTCTCCTTCTAGTCTTATTATTCTTAGGCTTGGTCATTTTGTAGTGTCCCAGATTTCCTGGATGTTTTGTGCCAGGAACGTTTTATATTTAACATGTTATTTGACCAATATATCCATTTTTTTCCATGGCATTTTCTATCTCTTGTATTCTGTTGATCATGCTTGTGTCTGTTGTTCCTATTCACATTCCTATGTTTTCCATTTCCAGAATCCCCTCAATTTGTGTTTTCTTTGTTGCTCCTATTTCCCTTTTCAGGTCTTGAACATTTCACTTTCTTCAACTGTTTGCTTTTCTCTTGGCCTTCTTTAAAGGATTTATTTATTTTCTCCAATTGTTTGTTTGTGTTTTTCTGAATTTCCTTAAGGGCTTTATTCATTTCTTCCTTAAGGTCTTCAATCATCTTCATAATGTTGGGTTTAAGGTCTTTTCCTTGTGCTTCTGTTATGTTGTAATATTCAGGGTTTGATGTAGTAGTGTTGGGTCTCAGGTTCATGCAATGAAGGGGGACAGACCACTAAAGTCTATTAAGCCAGAAGCAAGTGTTATTCTAGAAAAAGAATAAAATTACCACAGGGAACAAAAAGCTTACCAGTCAACGAGGACCACAGTCAGAGATCAGGCTTCTGAAACTGTGACCATGGGGACTGGTTTGGGGTCTCTTCTTACAATAAAATCAAGCACCAGGTGTGGGTCATAGAGCTTTTATAACTTTGAGGCCAGGAGTAAAGTCACATTACATGCTAAGTTTTACAACTTTTGATTATAGGGTGTTAATTTTGGATGTTTGCATTTGCTATCCCTTAAAGAATGCAAGACAGAGAGAGTACAGTCATATAGGAAAACAGGTAAAAAAATTAAGAGAATACAATGCAGAGGGCCCCACAGAGGCAATAGTTGGAAGTTAACCTTTGTCATACCTGCCTAGCTGGGAAGCTGGGAGGCAGGAGACAATTGTAAAAAGTTTACCTCTGAATGCAGTGGCTGCAAGGGTGTCTGTTCTTAAGGCAGAGAGTTGTTGTTAAAGGTTAACAGTGGCTGCCAGCCGTGTGTGTGTGTGTGTGTGTGTGTGTGTGTGTATGTGTGTGTGTGTGTGTGTATTCAAACTGTATTTGGGTTTCAAATTTTATATTTCTATATTCCTGGACCCTTCAATAGGATAGTTGGATTCTGGTGATGCCTTGGCTTGTTGTTTCTTGTGTTCTTGTGCTGACTTCTAGACATCTGGATTTGGAGTAATTAAAGGTCTAGGTACTGATTTCTGAGTTTGTCTTGGTTGGATGGGTGTTTTGTTCCTTGGTTTCTGTTTCCTCTCTGGTTTTCTGGTCAGTGTGGCCTGGGCTTCTTCCATCTGTGTAGTCTCTAGTAGAACAGGAGGTCTCTGCCCCAGTTGGAGGCTGGGGAAAGGAAACTAGGAGGGCACAGGACTGGTAGTGGCAATGGGGGGTAGCTGAGACAGTGCAGGGGTGGGGGAGTTTGGTGGACTTCTCCCAGTCTTCTTGTTCTCTGGCAGAACAGGGAGTCTGTCCCTGTTGGAGACTGAGGCACACATAGGAAGGCATGGGGCTGGGCACAGTGTGGGAGGTGTTGAGCCAGTGAGAAAATGTGGACGTTTGGGTGAAGGGAATACCACCTGGACTTCTCCCAGACTGCAACATCTCTAGTAGAGTGGGTCAGTAGCTTTCCTTAACTGTGGAGAGAAATTCCACAGCCTCTTACTCCTGTACCCTTCCTGGATCTAAAGCCAGAACCCAGTGGCTGCTGCTGCCGAGTGCTACTGCCTGCTTGGGATGAAACCTGGCCCCTCCTTGAATGTCATGTGCTTAATCTTTCATTTGTTGTTGCTCTTTAGGAACTGGCTATTTCTTTTCAAAAGTTGCAGGGTGCTGAGTGGGGTCTTGTTTTCCAAGTTCCTACTGTGCTAGCCCATTAACTGACAGTGTTCAACCACTTTTTCTTAGTCCAAAATCCCAGCATCTTCTCCATTCCTTAAAAAAAAAAACAGCATGGTCAATCTGATCACAGCAAGAGCCCATTCCTTGGTATCAATTTCTATCTGTCCTGGTTACTTTTCTATTGTTGTACTAAGATACCACAATGAAGGCAATGTACAGAAGTAGTTTATTGAGGGGCTTAGAGTTTCAGAGGGTAAAACCATGGCCATAATGGGAAACAGCATGGCAGCAGATCAGCATTCATAACACTGAGCAGTAGCTGAGATCTTACATCCTGTTCTATAAGCATGAGGCAATGTGGCAGTTTGAATAAGTATGGCCTCCAGTGATTCTTGTGTTTAAACGCTTAGCCCATAGGGAGTGACACTATTAGAAGGTGTCGTCTATTGGACTAGATGTGGCCTTGCTGAAGGAACTGTGTCGCTATGGGGGCAGGCTTTGAGGTCTTAGAAGCTCAAGCCAGTCCACTCCCAGCTGCCTGCCAATCCAGATGTACAACTCTCAGCTCCTTCTCTAGCAACATGTCTGGCTGAATGCTGCCAAGCTTCCCACCCTGACAATAATGGATTAAATCTGTGGAACTGTAAGCCATCTCCAATTAAAAGTTTTCCTTTATAAGAGTTGCCATGGTTGTGGTGTCTCTTCACAGCAATAAAACCCTAGCTAAGACAGGTAGAGAGAGGTAATTAGGAATGGCATGAACTTTTCAAGTCTCAAAACCTACCCTACACCTCAGGGCCATGATTCCTAGTCCTTCCCAACAGTTCCACTAACTGGGACCAAGGAAACAAATGAGCGATGGGGGCCATTCCCATTCATACTGCCACACATGGTTTTCTATTATTAATTACAATGTTCCATTTGATGCCTTGCTGGGAGATGCCACAGTGTACAAACAAGAAGTCCAAACAGCAGCACTGGGATTCCTAGTGTTTAGATCTGCTCAATGAAAGCTTCGTCGAACTGAATGAACTTAACCAATCTTTTCTAAATTGTCTTTCTGAGTTACTATGTGACTTTGTGGCTGTCTCTTTGCTCTGGCAGGGACTGAGGGTCACAGATAAAATGTGATATAGTTATATGGTGCAGGGTTGTTTTCAGAAGGGGAAACATACACCTGGATACACATTAGAAAGTGAACTTGTTCTCTCTACCTAAACTCTTCTTCCTCACAAGAGACAGATATTCAGAATTAGCAACTAAATGGCGAGATTAATATTTTCCTTGTTAGAATGCAGAGTGTAAGCCGGGTGTTGGTGGCGCACGTCTTTAATCCCAGTACTCGGGAGGCAGAGGCAGGCGGATCTCTGTGAGTTCGAGGCCAGCCTGGTCTACAAGAGCTAGTTCTAGGACAGCCTCCAAAGCCACAGAGAAACCCTGTCTCGAAAAACCAAAAAAAAAAAAAAAAAAAAAAAAAAAAAAAGAATGCAGAGTGTATTAGGCAGTAGCATTATGTTATTATATATATATATGTTCAGAACAATTTCTGTGTGACATGTAAATAAACATAATCATTTTAAAGAACAATGCGGGTACATTGCTTCCACCCTATATCAGCCTTTGTGCTCTAATGCCTCCTACTATTTGGTAGGACATGGATTGTAAGATCAGCTAGGTCTAACTTTAGTAATTCAAACCCCCAAGTTTTTCTTCATATCAACTCATGCTTCCTTTATAACAGGCCATCATATGTGAAGTCCAGGCTCCTCCAGGAATTCTTGAATAGTACAAAAGTACTCTTGCCTGAGGGTCTGAGGAGAACTGCAGGCTAACTCAGGTTCCCATTCTTAATCAGTCCTTTTGCAAAGACATATTAACTTCCTGATGTAATATAAGATCATAGAAAATTGAAATGCAGAGTTGAGTACTTGCTCTTCAAATTTTCAGACATTTTTCTCTCCTAATTTTTACGTTTACCTAGAGCCAAATTGGTTGACATTATAATGACTACAAGTGTCTTGTAACAGAGGCTGAGAGCAGACATATTTATACTGATGGTTTATTTAAAGTATTAACTTTTTAAAAGCTTTTTGAGGGCTCTTTTACTGCATGAAATGTTCTCTGTATGTTTCCTTCAGCTCACAGCATTTGTGACTTTGTTTTGTTTAGCACAGAGTCAAGGAAGAGTTTCACGGCACAAATATTTTATAGTTCCGTCAGTAGCTTTGTTTCTGGTGGTGCTACCAGTATGGTACTGTAAAGTGAGAAGAGACTCCAGTGACTCTGAAGGTAATATGCAGAATTTCGCTTTACTAATGGTAGTTCCACACCCTTGCTATTAATGATGGCGTGAACCAATCACCTCTACTGCTGGTTGCAGATGTAAATATCTTATTTTTTTGCAAGCCATTCTACAATTTATCAGAATCCATTAGCGTTCTTTTGTGTTTTCACCTAACTATTCAGCTTCCTAAAATTTGTTCCAAGCAAGTGGCCAGTGGCACATTAAGGTATATATAAGCACAATTACTGTAGCTTACTGTTAATATTCCCAGGTTTTTTACTGTTCTTATTGCTAATAGGAAAGATAGTTTAATTAATTAAGAGCCACAAGTGGTCATTTACAAAAAATGTCAAAATATTTTTAATGTAATACAAAAGGATGATCTGATCATCTTGGACTGTAACATAGCTAGAAGAAAATTTTTAAAAAGTTATCTTTGCAGTGATTAGATCATGGTTTGCCCACTTTCCCACCTTATGCGGGTAATTCTTTCCTGTCCCCAGGCTCTATTGTCTGTTGCACAGACCTCATTCTACATTTGGTGTTTTCACAAGCTGCTATACTCTTGAGTCATTTTTTAAAATCCTTGACAAATCAAAAAACATTTCCATAAATTCTGTGAAACAATGTTGTATTTCCCAACAATCATTTAAAACAATGCCTTAAGCGGCTGTGACCACCAGTCTTTGGACTTCTCCATTGAAATGTACATCAACTTGGCTGCAAGAAATCTGTAGAAACTGGGAATGAGCTTGTCTCCCTTGAAATTGTGAATCCTGGGAGGTGTTCAGTACTGAATAGGCTCAGGAAGTGGGTCTGTGTGACTGTATGCTATCTCCCTGCCCACTAGTGTCAACAGCAGCACTGTGCTTCCAAAAGCACTTCCTCACTCCATCCTGTCCCCAAGAAATCCCTGAGCTTCTTGGGTGTTCAGATAAATCTCATGTCCTATGCATATGTTTCTTGCAAGTAGAGGATTTTGGTTACTGGGAAACAGTTATTGATGTTGAAGTTTTCAGGGTGATATCATAGGATCATTTGAAACATTTTGACCTTGTGATCATTCAGTCTAATAGTCAGGCTCATCTCCTTGCTTGTTACTCCAGCCACTACATTGACTAGAAAAAGTCAGAGATGGTGCATCTTGAGAAATATAATTTGTTTCCAGATTCATCCTGTGGTTGAATTAAATTCAAATTATGGGAGATGGGGTATCTCATGTTGCTTAACAATGATAGATCCTACCCTGGAATTCTGCCCACATCCAGGTCTATAGAAAAACACACAGAACACACAGAACTTACAAGGTTAGCATAGAATATAATGCATTCACACTCCCACCCCCTCAAACCCCAGCTATCCACATCTGAAACAGAATCAAACTTAAACTTGAGGTGGCAAGGAGAGAGAAGAGTTCCCCAATCCTGGAATGGAGAGTCACAACAAATCACTCTCTTATGGAAGAGTGACCTTCAATGAAAAGACACAGCCAAGTAAGAAAAGTATGCAGGGGAGGAACTGGGAGGATGAACACCTACTTAGCTCTCTCTTCTCTGATCTCCAACAAAACCAGGGACCAGAAGATCCACATATTCTGCCAATGGAGACCAATGCATCCCAGATCCCACACCAGAGAAAGAAGTGCATTGTGGTTCTGATGATGTAATGGAGTACAATTCAGGTCAGGGTATACTCCTCTTGATTATAAAAAAGAAATTTCCTATGCTGTTGTGTGATATTTGATTGCACTGTGACATCCTGAGACTGTTAATGAAGTTAACTTTGAATGGTACATGGAGCCAGAGACTAGTTGACCACAATTAGCCATAGAGAAACCAGGAATTTGGATAGAGAAGGCGAAAAGGAAGAAAAGGGCAGGGCTAGAGTTTGGTGCTTTAATTTGCTTTGGGGATGAGTGGGCCAAAAATCAAGGTCAGATGGTTGCTTCTCAGCTTTTCTGACCTAGCAGGTTTTCATCCCCACACTTGACTTCTGAGTCTTTGTTGGCAAATAGAATGATAGACTTGGTTTAAACCTACATATAAAGGTTGCGGCAATGGTTAGAATGTCAATAGATTAAAAAATATACATCAGTAGATTCACATGCAGCCACTAAGCTGACAAAAATCATCACCATATTTCTGCAGTTAGATGTAATGAAAAAAAACATTTGGAGCTCTTATACTAAATGTCATAAAAACTAACCTGTCTCCAGGCTCCTGCTTGTTGTTTAATATGCTGTGGCTCATATGCTTTGGTTTTTAATTCAGTTTTCTATTGCTTAAAATGCCCCTCCTCTAGGCTATGTTTAGATGGTCCAGAGTTTTCAGCAAGGATAAGAAAGAAGGGCTTCCCTGACAAATGGAATTCTATCACTGTCCCCTGACTCACACACTCAGCCCTTCCTTGACCAGGACATTTCCTTTGTTAGTGTTTGCTGGAAACCTGGCCCACATTGGTAATGAGCCAATAATTGTTGATTGGCTGACTTGTATTTGTTCTCCCCTTTGGAGCACTGGAATCAATCATAGAAATGTATTGCTACACTGGATGTCATATTTCTACAGTGAATACATTTTTAATATTGTTTGTTGGAATAAGATGTAAAAGAAAGGAACCAAGGTGACTCCCATGATTATGAAGAGATGGGAATGTGAATTCTGATGATGAGAATTTTATTTTGGTCTCTCTTCTAGAAATGTGCCGTGTCTCTGTTGATGAAAGTGTTAATAATGGCAATAACTCCAATGGAAATGATGTAAGGCATATCATTTCTTCATAGACCCATTCTCAATGGAAAGATAAAGCAAAAGAAGGAAAAACAGGAGGAAGACACAGATGTGGAACTGAAGCCTAAAAGCAATCCCAGCATTCATGTGGTAGACACAACCTGAGTTGTCTAGCAAGATGTTGTCTCAAAAACAATACAAAACCATCTCTACCACAAACAAATAAGGAAGTGAATTTTTTTACTAGCTTTGATATCATTATACAAGTCTTAGGGCTGGGGAGAGGCAAGAGGAATTGCAGGATAATATGGTGGGAAGAAATACAAGTAGGCTTTTCTCAATGAATGAGATCTTCCTATTTAAATAGCTCTTCTTGGTCTCCTGTTCTTATTTGCAAACATATCCAGTGGCACTGTGCATCTAGACACTCATCAGAGTATGCTCAGTGTAGTTGTTCTTCTGATAGATGTGGGGTTGAGCTAAAATGAGAAGGAACAGACTTGTATAAAAATGGATGCAAGTAGACCACAGTTTTCACTCAGATCCAGATGTCTGGCTGTCTATCCATACTTTCCAGATATTTCTAGGTCCCCAGGTGACTAACACTTCAGGCACAATGCATAGTTTGATTCATTTTGCTGCATCAGTTTTTACAGTTTTACATCATCCCCTAATCTGAATATAAATAAGGGGTAGAAACTTCAAAACTCAGGAGCATCTAAAAGATTAAAATTGACTGACATGACTTAGGCTGTATCTCTATTCATTTTATAATGTCTCATGGATCTATGATCACAGATATAAGTGATGGCTTGAACCTCATCATACTCACTTTTCCTACAAAATCCACTAAGATAAAAGTGGTCATTTTGACCTGGACAACAGAAACTGATTCATTTTCTTGTTTCTAGTCTCCTTCAAAAAAGACGAAATCCTCTACTTGCCTTACTCCATTTATCTGAAGATTTACTTGATTGACAACATCCCACATTCTATCACTGTCATTCCAGGTGATGGTTTGTCAGATTTGACAATTCCACTGTTGTGAAGACAGTAATTTATTTCCCATGCATGGATTTGAATGTGGCCCTAAACCTCATGTATTAGAAACATTGTGTTGGAAGGGCTAGGGCCTAAGAAGTAATTGTGTTGAGGACTTTACCAACATTTTGGAAGTAGGTTAAATACTGGAAAACTGGTTTGTCCTGAAAGTATACTATCTTTCTCTTGACCTCTCTTGATCTTCAAACTTTTGCCAAGGGATGTTATGCCCAAAAGACTCAAACCAGATGATAACACCTTAATACTGGACTTCCAAGCTTGCAGACTGTCACGTCTGCAGCGTGGCCTGTGTCCGAGAACGTGCGGAGGGTGTCGGGGATTGACAACACAGAGACTCGTTCAATGATATAAAGAGAACTTTAAACAGGCTCCAAAAAGGTTCAAGAAAAACTTCCTAAGAAAAGCTCCCACCAGAGAAACTTCTGCTCTCTCCTCTCCCCTGGCTGGTTCTGCTCTGACCCCAGAGGTGGATGTGTGTGGGTTTTTGAAGGTGCGGTTAGTCTTTGGACATGGTCGAGGTCAGGGCGGTTTCCGTGGGAAGGCCTTTCCCAGGAACTTATTGTATCGTTTTTAGTAAACATGTTTTTACTAAACATTGTCTTACAGCTGCCTACTCCCAGGCAGAAGGGGAAGTGGGTCTCTGCTCAAGGTCTGGTGTTCCCACAATTCACCCCTTTTTATTTTCAAATGAGGCACTCCTGGCTTAGGTCAAGTAGGGTCACCCTCCCTTTCCCGTCTTTGGGGGACCTTGAACCCCTGTTTTAGGTGGGAGGGGTCTTCCCCACAGGTTGCCCGTCATCGGAGATACCCCAACCTTAAATCATCCGTAACCAACCTTCATGGCTATCGGGATTGCCATGGGCTAAGCTAAGCAATACTTGGTTACGGATCTCTTGTCTCTGGAACAAGGCACGTTTGAGCTCGGCATAAAGCCAGAATGCCTACCGCCACTGCCACCATTTCCAGGACCCCCATTGACATAGCGCCTCTCCATCACCATACCCATCACCAGATCTGGGCCATAACATTCTACCAGCCTTCGTCTGTTACAAGGGTAACCTGCATGTGATTTACATTTACAATTTGATAAAGTTTACAATCGTTCCAAGATCTGCTCAGGAAAGCATTTAGAAAGTGCACTTGCACAGATACATTAGGTACAATCATTGATGTTACACATGTAGCATTACGAAAAATATGAACAATAGTTGTCGCATTAGGACAAGTTGCATTTCTCCAGAAAAATACACTGGCCTAGTCGTGATTCCAGAAACAGGAACCATCAAGTCTGATATTTCAAGTGACCATGTCCTGTTCAAATACTGAAAAGAGGCTTTTGCCACTCATAGTCCATATCAATGTCCAAATATTTTAAATGGGTCCTTTTTTCCCCTAAAGGGAAAACTGGCAAAATGAATTCTGTTGTTTCAAGGTGTGTCAAGGGCAGACAGTTAGTCTTTCCAGTTCTCTGTTGGCTTCGGGATGAAAACTCACGGGTCCGGAAGGTTAATGCAGCAGGTCTGTTGAGAAACTGGAAATCTCGAACCGACTGTTTTCTTTCTTTCTTGGGCTCTAGATTTGATGACATCAAGGGTCAGGAACACTGATTTAGGAGATCTCACTCAAACTGGCTTAGGTAGGCTCCCATGGTCTCGGGTCCAGTTTTTCTCTGCTCCATGCATCTCACTAATTGGTCTGACAGCTGCCGAAGCTTTCTTTATTCTTTTCCTACAAGAAAACACAAACATGCCCTCGACCCCAAATTAGGGTCTTCTCCGCTGTCTAGTGTATGGATGTCTCCATTTGACCTGAGCAATGGTTGCTCAAGTTCCATCATGCCAGAATCTGTCTGAAGCTCACTGGCATTCACATTATAAAATTTTTAAATGAGGAGTGTATTATTTGATGAGTCATGTGGGGACTGGGGACATTATTCCCCCTTTTTTATTTTCTAAAAAATAAAGTTTTTTTTTGAACTGTTGAAGCTGGACCATAACAGTAGAAGGATTTGTCTACCCTCCTTGGTTGACTATCTAGGTAAATTGGGATTACTACTTAGATTATTTGTAGATGCCCATTAAAAAGGACATATCCATTAAATATTTCCCAAAAACTTCTGAAAATCACTCAAAGATTGTAAACTATACTGTGTTCAAATAAGTTTTTAAAATTATTTGAAGTCTGTGAGCAGTCTTTCCCAATCTAACCTGTAGAGCTCTCACTAGCTGACAAGGCCTCATTTGCATCTTAAATTTTTCTGTTAAAACATTAAAAGACTGGCTGGATGTTCCTTTTGGCTATATATAAAGCAATCTAGGTAGCTTCTGAACTATTTTTGAAGGGATTTAAGTATCCTTTTAATCATATAAGCAGTTCACACTCACGCATTAACAATCACATTTCATACATACCGGTGTGGCCACACCATACATTCAGAACATACATGCATCTTTCAGTCATCCTTTTTCCCTAGGTCATGATTAGTCTGTTGCAATGAAGCTCCCTTAATTGAAATCTATGTAAAAGAACAACTCCAGCCAATCCTTGAACTAAAAGGGTTAAAAGTCCTGTATGTTCTTTATCATTCCTCCATTTGAGCTATAGTCATGGGGTACAGCCGTACCCACTCCTTGTAACTCTGTAGATGCAAGGTGGAGAGGCCAGGATTTTGGCCAAAAGTTTTTAGAGATGACTCACAAAATAGAACTTAAATGTAAACAAAAATTTTCATTCCATATACCTTTGTCCTTTTCTTTTTCTTTACTTAATACCAGTACCTCTTTATTAACTGTTACCAATTTTCAATTTACTCACTTTTAATCCATCCTCCAACTGAGGGTGATCTCTCAGGTTCCCCTTTCTTTCCTGACCTTGGTGTCAGGCGAAGGCCTGGAGATTTAATCCGGTACCCCTAGCTTGGTACCCCTTTTTAACACATCCGCATAGCCTTACTGGCCAGCCTTTTAGATCTCTCAGTTTCCCTCAAAAATGACCAAAACCCTTCCTATCCCCTGGGGCCCTGGTCTCCAAAGGGAGGGATGCCACAGGGCAAACCTCTCCCTGTTCTAGTTTACCTAGTTCCCTCCCCGGGCTCCAGCCCCTCCCTTGCGTCATCTGGGGGCCCCTGCTTTTGGACTTGGGTGCCTGGGTGGTGAGGACCACTCCCATTTCTTGCATGAGGTCCCGTCCCCAGAGGTTAATAGGGAGGCCAGGCAAAACATATGGCTGGAAAAGCCCTGTGTGGCCTTCAGAGTCTTGCCACTTTAAGATTCTGAGGCTTTTTTGGGGCACAGCCTGTCCTATTCCCTGGAGGGTCACTGTCCCTTCCTCTTTCGGCCAGGCGGGGGGCCAGAATTTATCTGAGAGGACAGAGAAATCTGCCCCAGAATCTAAGATGCCCCTAAAGGACTTGCCTTCTATCTTTAATGTAAGCTGGGGCGGTTCTCCATAGTGGCTACCCAAAATGCTGCCGGGCCGGTACTTCCAAAACCTTGGTTGCCCCTTTTCTCTTTAATTTTTCTAGCCTCACAAGGAGCTGTAGGGAGAAGGAGTATCTGAGCAATCCGTTCTCCTGCAGGGATGGCAACAACCCCACTGCCCACTGATGTCATTATTTTAATCTCCCCCTCACTATCCTGGTCTATAACACCGGGGTGTACCTGGATGCCTCGAAGAATAGTACTGGACCGTCCCAAAAGTAGTCCGACCGTGCCTGGGGGCAATGGCCCATGCACCCCAGTAGGGAGGGCCTGGATACCCATTTCCGGTGTTAGGATTGCCCGGGCAGAGGGAGCGAGGTCCAATCCTGCACTCCCTGAGGTGGCTCTAAGGAGGTCTGAGATATGAAGGGGTTGCTCTGGGGAGAAAATGAGTCCTGCCACTGCCCAGAGCAGGGGTCATTGCCCCGTACACATTGGTTTTGGGGCCCTGGGGTGGGGCCCTCCTCCCGTTTCCCTGATTATTATTAGCAGGAAGGAAATTTCCCTCCTGGTCAGTTTTAGAGTAGCAGTTATTGGCCCAATGATATCCCCTTCGACAACGGGGGCATAAACCAGGTCTCTTGAGACCCGCAGTACTATTTTGAGGGCACTCTCTACGGAAGTGTCCCTCCCTACCGCAGCTAAAACATGTTTTTCTCCCTCCCAGAGTAGGTCTTTCTTTCCCCACTTGGGGCCGAATAGCAGCAGCTAACACTTGGCCCTGGATGAAGTTCCCATCAATGTCCCTACAGATCCGGATATAGTCATTTAGACTTTTATTGCGATAGGGGCGAAGGGCTTCCTTACAATACTTATTTGCGTCTTCAAATGCCATCTGCTTGATGACTGGCATCACAGGCCCAATGCCCCCAAATATTCTTTCTGCTACCTGACTGAGACGGTCTACGAAGTCTTGAAAAGGTTCGGAAGGTCCTTGAAGGATTTTGGACAGATGATCCCCTCCTTCCTTGGAAGGCAATGCTTTCCAAGCCCCTTGGGCCGCTGCTGCCACTTGGGCATAGACTGCAATGTCATATTGCATTTGTTGCTGAATGGTGGCGTATTGACCACTCCCGGTAAGCATCTCCACATTTCTCTGGGGCTGTCCGGCCTGTGCATTCCTTTGGGCTGTCTGGCTGCATCTTTCCTGAAACTCACCTCTCCAAATCAAATAATCTCCCCCCGACAGAGCTGCTCTGCAAAG